TCTCTTGGGGCTCAATGATTAAAGCAGGGGTCCTAAAGTGCCGTGAGTATGTTCTTAGTCCCACCCACCTCATTTTATAAAGTCCAGTTTTAATCTGAGTAATAAATCAGCATTTTTTAACACAATTTTCGCACAGCGATGTGGTCTTCCTATTTTTTGTATAAATGAAGAACTGATAGGAACTTTCCGACTCCATTTGTGAAGCCATTTGTGGCTGGGTTTTCCTTGGAGACTGTTTCTTCTCCTTCAGGATCTTAAAGTTACAAGTCTCTTCAGATTTGCTGTCTCGAGTCAGTTTTTTTTTAAATTTGTATCTTTCTAGAAATTTTACCATTTTATCTAAATTATCTAATTTGTTGATGTAGAATTATTTAGTGTACCCTTGTAATTCTTTCACTTTTTTATTAGGTTTATAAAAGTCCCTTTCGGTTCTTATCTTAGTAATGTGGTTCACCTCAAATTTAGTTAAATATATTTTGCTTGTCTTATCAAAGAGTCAACTTTGGGTTGTTACTTTTTCTATATAACTTCTACTTTAACACTTCTTTCCTTTTTTTGATTACATTAGGTTTAGTTTGCTATTTTCCAGTGTCTTAAGGTGGAAGGTTAGGTAATTGATTTGAGATCTCCTTTTATAATAAAGAGGTTTACCGCTATAAAGTTGCTTCTAAGCATTGCTTACAACATGTTTCATAAGTTTTCTAATTCTACTTAGAGCCATTAATTATCAAAGAATATGTTGTTTAATTCCACATATATACTTATGTTCCATTGTAATTAGAGAGCTTACTTGATATGTTTTGCTTTTAATTTATTGAGACTTGTTTTAGGTGTGCATCAGGGTCATAGCCTCTGACTATACTTGTTCAAGTGTATGTATGCTGAGCAAATTATCAAAGAAGCTAGATTAGATGGAAAAGAATGCGGCATCAGGATTGGAGAAAGCTTACTGACAACCTGAGATACTCAAATGCCACATTCCTGCTTGCTGAAGTGAGGAGGGCTTGAATCACCTGCTGCTGAACATCCAGCACAGCAGCCTTCAGTGTGGATTACAACTCAATGTAAAGAAAACAAAAATCCTCGCCAACCGGACCAAGAGGTAACAGCAGGATAAACGGCGAAAAGATTGAAGTTGTCAAAGATTTCCTCTTACTTGAATCCACAATCAATGCTCATGGAAGCGGCAGTCAAGAGATCAAATGGCGTGTGCATTGGGTACATCTGCTGGTGCACAGACCTTTAAAGTGTTGACAAGCAAGGATGCCACTCTGAGGATGGAGGTGGGCCTGACTCAAGCCAGTATTTTCAAGTGCCTCGTGTGCATGTGAAATTTGTCCATAGAATAAGGATGACAAGAAGAATGGACACATTTGAATTATGGTACTGGTAATATTGAAAGTATCATCAACTGCCAAAAGAAGAAACAATCTTGTCTTGGAAAAAGCACAGCCAGATGCTCCTTAAGAGACAAGGATGCCAATACTTTCTAAGTCTTTTGGACATGTGATCAGGAGAGACTATTTCCTGGAGAGGAACATCATGCCTGTGAAAGCAGAGGGTCTGTGAAAAGGGGCGACCGTAGACAAGATGGATTGGCATAGTGGTTGCCACAATGGAACCTGGGAATCATTGTGAGATGATGCAGGGTTGGGGAGGGTTTCATTCTGTTGTACAC